ATTTCACTGAATTGCTTAGCGTCTCACCATTGCTGAGGCTGGCTTTGAACTCATGATCCTCCTACCTCAGCCTCTAGAGTCACTGAGATTACAGGCGTGCGCCACTGCGCCCAGCCCCAGCCTGTTTTGTTTCTAATGTAATACGTTCATAAGGCTCAAAAAATCAAATTGTACAACAGTATAAAGAGTGAAATGCAGGTTGGGATTACAGCTCAGTGGTAGAGCACTTGCCTACCATGTGTAAGGCACTGGGTTCGATTCTCAGCACTACATACAAATAAAATAAAGGTCCATCAACAACTAAAAAAACTTTTTTTTTTCTTTTTTTTTTAAGATTTTATTTTTTTATATTTTTAGTTCTCAGCAGACACAACATCTTTGTTTGTATGTGGTGCTGAGGATCGAACCCTGGCCGCACGCATGCCAGGCGAGCACACTACCCCTTGAGCCACATCCCCAGCCCCCTAAAAAAACTTAAAAAAAAAAAAAGTGAACCACTCCTGCTCCCTTCTGTATCTGTTTTTTCACCACCCAGCTTCCCCCTCAGGACAGCAACTTGGGAGTCCTTCAAGGTCTTTGTTAAGGCATCAACCATATCAGTGAACATGCTTTTTTTCCCTTCTTTTTTTCCCCAGTACTAGGGATTAAACCCAAGGGGACTATATCACTGAACTATATCCACATTTTATTTTGAGACTGCGCCTTGCTGAGTTGCTGAGGCTAGCCTTGAATTTGTCATCCTCCTGCCTCAGCCTCCCAAGATTATAGGTGTGTGCCACCATGCCTGGTGGTTGTTTCCAATCTTGCTTTTCTGGACCATGTTGCCATGAGTTGCCTTGTTCAGGTGACACCTCATAGCTGTGCAGTGAATATGTTGGTTGAATTGCTAGAAGAGGAATTTCTGGGTCAAAGCTATGGGTTTTTGCACTTTTGATAGATGACCTGATGTCTATGTTGCCCTCCCAGGGAGGGTGTCTCCGTTTAAATTGCCCTTAGTGAAGATGAGACTCAGCTCCTGCCCTCTCCCAGGCAGGATGCTTTCAGGCTTCTGGATATTTAATGAAGCTGATGGATTTAAAAAAAAAAAAAAAGAAAGAAAAGAATGTGGAATTGGGCTGGGGTAAAGCTCAGTGAGAGAATAGGCGTTCATTGCCCAGCATCGGCAAGGACCTGGGTTTGAGCCTCAGTACCACATAAAAATAAATAAAATAAAGATATTGTGTCCAATTACAACTAAAAAAATTAATTTAAAAAATTTAATTTTTTATTTTATTTAAAAATTTTTTTTTATTATTTATTTTTTAGTTTTTTCGGCGGAAACAACAACTTTGTTTGTATGTGGTGCTGAGGATTGAACCCAGGCCGCACACATGCCGGGCGAGCACGCTATCGCTTGAGCCACATCCCCAGCCCCTAAAAAGTTTAATTTTTTAAAAAAGAATTAGGGATGTAGCTCAGTGGTAAAGTGCACCTGAGTATCAGGGGGAGATAAAAGGTGGAATATCAGTGTAGTTGTCATTTGCATTTATCTTATACAGCTCTTTTGAGCTACTCTTCATGAGCAACCCTTCTTTATAGGAACTGTTAGTATTTTCTGTTCTGGCTGCTGTAAGCAAGGGGTTTGGTGTCCTTCACCTTCTAGAAGTAGTCTTTGATGATACTCCCTGAAATCTGTGGCTAGGGATCTGTCATCAATTCTTGCACACATCCTATTCCTGCTTTGGTCATCTGGTCACCCATTCTTTATTTTGGGGGCAGTGCTGCGGGTTGAACCCAGGGCCTTGTACATGGTACGCAAGTGCTCTACCACAGAGCTACACCCCAGTCCCTGGCCACCTCTTTTGTTAGCTGACTCCCAGTGCCATCCACAAGATTTGTCACTTTGTTTCCCACACTGCTTATAGATGATTTCTGGGGGGAAAGAGGAAACGGATAACCCTTGACCTCACATTGAAAATCCTCCAGGTAATCTTACCTGAAACAAGGTAAGGTATCATTATCCATTTTACAGATGCAAACACCAAGGGTTTCACTTGTTAGGAAGCACATCCCTGCCATATGGTGGCTCCAGAATCTGTGTTCTTATTAGTTATTCCCCTCCTGGCCTATCACATCTCCCATGCCTTAGTCTACTCAGCTGTAAAGTCAAGAGACCTGTGACTATAAATGTGTTAGGAGCAGCTGGGCGTGGTGGCACAGGCCTGTAATTGCGGCAGCTCAGAAGGCTTAGGCAGGGGGATTGGGAGAAGAAAAAAAAAAAAAGTGTTAGGAGCACAAAGTCCCTTGGAAGCTCATAAATAGGGAATGGTGGCAGGAGAGGGTCTTCTACATTTTCTTCCACTAGAGAGAGCTCAGATTTCCATTGGCATTGACATCGTGAACCTTTGTCTAAGGCTTATTTTGTGAAAAGCATAATGAATGGTGTACAACACAAAGAAGGGGAAAAAAAAAAAGAGAGAAATTATCATACTATCTCAGAGGTTGCAAAGTCATGGCTCATGGGCTGAAAGTGGCCTGATAACACATTTTGTTTGATATTCAAAATTCATTTAATTAATTAATTAATTTATTGGTACTGGGGATGGAGCAACTCAGTGAGACCCTGTCTCTAAATAAAATACAAAATAGTGCTGGGGATGAGGCTTAGTGGGTGAGTGCTCCTGAGTTCAATCCCTGGTACCCACGTCCCCCGCAAAAAAATGAACAGAAGTGTGCACCTGGTACCCACGTCCCCCGCAAAAAAAACATGAATAGAAGCGTGCACCTCTGGTATCTCATTGACAAAACCAAAGATCTGGTGAACACAGGGTTCACATCTCAAACACAGGGCTGTGGTGTATAGCTCAGTGGTAGAGCACTTGCCTAGCATGCACAAAGCCTCTGGGTTTCATCCCTAGCACCACAAATGAATTCAGTAGATATACTGGTATAGCAAGCCTTTGATTCAGAAACTACCAGGACCCCCAGAGGTACCTAATCATCATGTCCTATCCCCCAAAGTTTTTAAAATATATATCTTTTTGGTACTGGGGAATGAATCCAGAAGTGCTTTACTATTGAACCACATCCCCAGCCCTTTTTATTTTGGGATATGGTCTTGCTAAGTTGCTTAGCGCCTAAGTTGTTGAGGCTGGCCTCAAACTAGTGATCCCCCTGCTTGAGCCTCTCAAATTGCTGTGATTACAGTCCTGAGCCACCCTAATACCCCCCCCCCTTTTTGGGGGGGATAATGGGGATTGAACTCAGGGGCATGCAATCACTGAGCAACATCCCTAGCCCTATTTTGTATTTTATTTAAAGTCTCACTGAGTTGCTTAGCGCCTCACTTTTGCTGAGGCTGGCTTTGAACTCTCAATACTCCTGCCTCAACCTCCAGAGCCACTGGGATTGCAAGGCAGCATCTTTCTGCCTACTGTCCCCTTTCTTTTTCTTTTCTTTTTTTTTTTTTTTTTTTGGTGCTGGGGAGGGAACCCAGGTTCTTGTGCATGCAAGCCAAGCACTCTGAGCTATATCCCCAGCCCCCACTGTCTATCCCCTTTCTTTCTTTCTTTTCTTTTCTTTTTTTTTTTTTTTTGAGAGAGAGAGAGAGAAAGAGAGAGAGAGAGAGAGGGGAGAGAATTTTTAAAAAATATTTCTCAGGTTTTTTCCCGTGGACACAACATCTTTATTTTATTTTATATGGTGCTGAGGATCGAACCCAGCGCCCCACACATGCCAGGTGAGCACGTTACCGCTTCAGCCACATGCCCAGCCCTGTCTGTCCCCTTTCAATGACATGCTTTCCCCACTCTCCCAAGGCAAGGCTACCCTCACTCTGGACTTTTTTCTCTGTGCAGTATGAGAATTGAACCCAGAGATGCTCTACCACTGAGCTACATGCCCAGCCCTTTTTTACTTTGAAATAAATGTTTGTTGCTTTGTGTCTCATGTCCTTCACTCAACATTGCTTGGCTGGGCAAGGTGGAGCCTCACGCCTATAATCCCAGGAACTAGGGAAGATGAGGTGGGAGGATTGTAAATTCAAGGCAGTTTAGCAATTTAGCAAGACCCTGTCTTAAAAAAAAAAAAAAAAGCCTCGGGATGCAGCTCAATGGTAAAGCACTCTTGATTTCAATACAATGTTGTCGGTTTCGTTCACATCTTTCTTCATAAGCCATAGTTCATTTATTCTCACTTCTTTATAATGTTCCTTTGCGGTGACAATCCTATGATGCATTCTACTGGTGACAGATATTTACATAGTTTCCAGGTTTGGGCCATTATGAATCACTCTTGTACACATTTACCACACATATTTGTGCACGCGTGTATACATTTTCACTGGAAACACAGCCAGGAGTAGAATTGCTGTGTCATAGAGTATGCACACACTCAGCTTCGGTAGACCTGGCACCCAGATCTTCAGAGTGTACCAATCAACCTTCTGTTTGCACTGGGGATTGCAGGCAGGGCCTCCCGCATGTGCTCTACCACTGAGCTACACCCCCACCCCTACTGTTACATTCTTGATTGGGAATCCAGTTTTTCTTCTATCCCTCAAGGGAAGCCTTGAAAGTTGGGAAGGAATCAGCCAGAAAAGGGAGTGGGGGTGAGGTGAATGAAGAACATTCCAGGCAGAGGTGAGCCAACAGCATGTATTTAAATCTGGAGGCCAAAGGGATAAGAGGAGGAGGATGTGCTCTCAGTGGGGCAGGACTGCCTACTGAGGGGACTTGGGAACGGATGGACAAGCGACACGCTGCTGTTTCCCAGGAAGACCCGAGGAGATTACAAAGCCTGGGGATCACTCTTCACAAGAAGTGGCCCCCTCCTCCGAGGCCAGGAGTGCCCCGCTGAGCAATGCAGGAGTGCAACTAACAGAAGTTTATCCTGATTGGAGGGAGGGTGAGGAGGTTGGGGGAAGGGGCGTGGGGTCTTGATGTCCCACTGTCATGTAAATGACAGGCGGGGCGGCTGCAGGGCCGGTTTAAAGCCCCTGCAGCTGGGGCAACCGGTTCTCTGCACTTCTCCCTGGTGAGCTGAGACCTGTGGGTCTGCTCCTTGACTTCCCTCTCAGAATGGCCCCCAAACGCCAATCTTCGCTCCAGTCTCAAACAAAAAAACCCAAACTGCCTGCCGCCCCTGAGAAGGCGAATTCATCGGCCTCTCTGGGTTTGCCGAAGGGAGGTAAGTCCCTAAACTACATTTTATTAGAGATTTAAGGGATTTGCAAGAATTGACTGATTTTTTTTTTCCCTCTTCAATTCTCCTTGAGGTGTGACCCCAAACTCCCCTGAAGGGTTTTAATAAGGGGTGGGTAGATTAGGTTGATGTGAAGCAGAAGGCACAGAACTGGGACGCAGGAGCACCAGGGAGCTCATCTCTTCCCTGAGCTCAGCACAAATGCTGAACTAGTCTCTCCAGCTTCTCAACTCCCTCCTCTAGGGCTCCACCACCAGCCAGGCTGAGGCTTCTCCTCCACAACTGCACACCCAGCCAGATTCCCCAGCACAGGTGGTCAAACCTCTTCCATCCTTTTTGAATCCGTCCACCTCTGTTTCTTGCTGCTGACGCTGGCCCACAACTCTCGCCTGAATTACTGCCACCTCCTCTTTTTATTTTTGGTACTGGGGATTGAACTCGGGGACTCTGGACGACTGAGCCACATCCTCAGCCCTATTTTGTATATTTTTTAGAGACAGGGTCTCACTGAGTTGCTTAGTGTCTCACTTTTGCTGAGGCTGGCTTTAAACTCTCAATCCTCCTGCCTCAGCCTCCTCTTTTGCTCCCAGCTTCCTCTTCTCCCATCCTGCCCTAGCAAGGCCAGTCATGTGACCAACTCCTGGCTTAACTCCCAGTTGCCCTTCAGGTATGGACTAAGACTTCCGGTGCACTACCCGCCAAGTCCCTGCCCATCACTCCAGGTTTATGCTCCTGACACCACCTGGAGGCCTCACTCCAGCACCCTTTAGTTTTTCCTCACTTCCAGGGGCTCCATTTCCTCACCTTTGGGCCTGGGTATCTATGATCCCCCTGCCAGGATCACTCTCTTACCTTTGCAAACCCCCACGAGAGGCCAGCTCTCAGCTCTGGGAAACCCAAAGTCACTTCTTCCAGGCAGTGTCCTCTCAGTCTTAGCCTCTTTGCATCAGGAGTCTCTTTGCCATGGCAGCACCTAGAATCACCCCATCCTGGCCCTGCATCATTACGTTGTTTGATGCCCGCTCCCCACTCACTAGCTGGTTTAACTCTGAGGTGAGAGTTGCATTTCTCAGACACAGAACTTGAACACAGAGTTGACTCTTCTACTGCTTAGTTTTTCTTATATAAGAATGGATATGTAGTAGGCTTTCTGTGGTTGGGTCTGGACAGGTCCACGGCAGGAAAGCAGTCATCAACTTGGCGAGGGTTAACTCTACTTGTGGAAGGAGCACTGGATGTGGAGTCCTCATCTTAATACTCCCATGGGCTTGTTGATTGACTTTACTGAGTCTCAGTCCTTGGCCTTTCAAATGGGTGATGCAGAGGCCTCCTGTCAGCTGATGCCCTGGTGTGGTACTGATAGGGTGTGAAACCTGTCTTGTTAGGTGGGTGACCTAATCTGTGCTTACTCCCTTTTTGGAAAAATGGATTCAGTGGTTCTTACTTCTCATGCTTGCTGAGACATATACCTAAGTAAATCATTTAAGACCGCGGCTGGTGCTCAACCTATCCTCTTGAGATGGGAGGAAATTCCTTCCCACTGTGAGCAGAAAACTTCCCACAGGTGAGTTTTCCTGGTTTCCTTCCATTAGTTTCTGGGATTAAAAACGAGAACAGAGGGATGGAGGGTGCAACCACAGTCCCTCCGAGGTTGTACCACTCAATGTGCACTGGTGACCTGCCAGGCACTGTGCAGAGCACTCCTCCCTGTTCAGTCCTTATGACTGCAGCATGTGCTGATATCCTTATTATACAGATCAGAAAAAGAGCACAGAAATGTGGGGGGTGGCGTTCAAGGCCATCCTAGCTAAGATTTCCCAGCCAGCATCTCTGTGTTCCAGTCATACTGGCTGTGCTGTCCACTCCTCTTCAAAGGAGCTGGGAAGGGAGGCGGAGGGAGGAATACTGAGAGTGAGGTGAGAGGCCAAGGAGAGAATGCAGAGCTGTTGGTGTTGGAGAAGGGGAGAGACCGTGGTGCTGGGAGCGCTGAGTTATCTCTGGCTGTGCCTTGCTCCTCCCTTGTTTACTGAAACTCTGCCCTTTTGCTTTCTCTTTCTCTTCCACTTCCTAGTGTGCTCCTTGCATTCAGTTTGAGAAGTGTTGTGGGAAAGTTCAGGAAGAGGATGGCTCCAGGCCCTATTGGGAGGGTGGGAAAGCCCATTTCCCAATCTGAAGGCACTGTAAGGTTCCTTGGGCCCCCTGAGGATGCTTGGGAAACAGGTGAATCAGGAGCTTGGAGATGCTGTGGGTCACTGGTACTAACCCCTAGAGAGGCTTTGTAGATGAAAATAACAGCAGTGTTTTCCACACCAATTTCAGCTCAAAAGTGGCCCATGAGTAAGACTTGCAGTCTTGCATCTGGAAAAAAAAAATTAGAGTCATATCACCTTTTGTGTAGGTGTGTACCAGGTCATGATGTCAAATGTACATCTTATTGTAGGTCACATTAAAAAAAAACTGAGGGGGGCTGGGGTTGTAGCTCAGTACTAGAGCACTTGCCTACCTAGCATGTGTGAGGCACTGGGTTCAGTCCTCAGTATCATATAAAAAAAATAAATAAGATGAAGTTACAAAGAAAACAAATAACAAAACAAAACTGAGGGGCTGGGTTTGTGGCTCAGTGGTAACAGTACTCACCTTGCAGCACCACATAAAAATAAAAGTATTATGTCCATCTACAACTTAAAAAAATATTAAAACAAACAAACTGAAGGCCAGGCCTGATGATGCATGTCTGTAATCCCAGTGACTTAGAAAGCTGAGGTAGTATGATTGCATGATCAAGGCCAGCCTGGGCACTTGGGAACACCCTGTCTCAAAATAAAAAGGGTGGGATGTAGCTCAGTGGTAAGAGTCCCTCTGGGTTCAATCCTCAGTACTGGAAAAGAGAGAGGGAGAGAGAAAGGAAGGCAGGTAGACAGACAGTTTTAGAGCAAGGGCTTTGTAGTCTGTAAACTTGGTTTAAAATTTTGGTTTTGCCACTTGTGTCAAAGTTCATTTGGGACTAGAGAAATAGCTTAGTGATAGAGTGATTGCCCCACATGCATGGGGCCCTGGGTTCCTTCCAGCACCACAAAAAAGGGGGGAAAACGTTTATCTGTGAAATGTGAACATTAAAATGTATCTTGTATTTTCTGACAATTAAGTGAAAAGTGCATGTAATTATCACAGTCTGTGGTCCTTGGTATATGCCCAAGTGATGTGGCAGAGCAGGACCTGCCCACAAGTCGTAGAATTTTTTTGAAACTCAGTGACATTGATGTCACTCGCTGAAATTGGCCATGGTGAAGCCATTTACATCACTGAAATGAACAAGTGCTATAAATTAGGGGAGGTTATTGTTTGTTTTATCTTTTTCCTTGGGAGCTGATTGTTAGACATTTACCAATTTGTCCTTGGTGCTAATAATTCTTCCTTTAGTTTGTGGTACCAGGGATTGAACCCAGGGATGCTTTGCCACCGAGTTACATCCCTATCCTTTTTTTTAAAATTGAGGGTCTCCCTAAATTGCTGAGGTTGGCCTCAAATTTGTGATCCTCCTGCCTCAATCAGGAATGGCTGGGTAATCCCAGGCTTGTGCCAACCTACCTGGCTCAGAAAACCCTCAAACTTCAAAGAGAGTTGTCAATTTGCAACAGAGTGGAGCCAACTCAATTGAAAACAAGGTTTAGAGGGAAAGATACCATGAATTTCTAGGTTTGGATGAGAGTTTCAGGAAGATCTTTGTATTCTCTAACCACATGGACTGTATGCCACTCTAAATATTTATTGATCACCCACCATGGACTAACTTGAACATTAAATTCAGTGCTTGAGCTTTAAGAGCCCATAATAAAAGTGCTGGAAGGCAAACAACCTAGTCCCAAATTCTGGTTACAAACACCCAGGGAGAGATTTCAGGCATTTCCAGGTCCATGTGTTGAGGCCCTGAAGTGAGAGCAGAGCTGGGGCATCTGTCACTGTGGGAAAGCACTGTTTTAACAGGAATGCCTCTGCTCCACTTGGTAGTTCAAGGCTCTGCTTTAAAAGCAGGTCTTGTTGGCCCATCACATCCTTAATGTGCAAGGGAACTAACACAACCCCTAGAGCTGATGATGCACTCCACGAGAGAGGAACAGGTACTTGGGGTATGGTTTCTTGGTAGCACTAGGCAGTCAGTTGGGTCCAAAGGACCTGTTGGTGTGGTACCTCTTTGCCTTAAGAGGGCTTCCACAATAGTGTGGTCCTGCTTAAGTATGACAGCAGACAACATTTATAATTTCATAACAGAAACGGGTCCTAACAGAAAAGGTGACTTTACTTGCCCAAGGCCATTCAGCCTCCGGGGCAATCGTGGACTGAAACCCAGAAATGACCCTGGGAGTGGACTGGACAGCTTCAGGCTTTGCAAACTGATTCTGGACTGCAGCTTCCCTATCTGGAAAACCGGATGCAGGTGTCGCCTTCTCCCACGAAGAGGCGCCCAGATGCCCCAGCCATGTCCCAGAGTACATAACCCAGGGCGGGTGATTTCCAGGCCCGGATGTGAAGCCAGGCTACTACGAGGCCTGCACTTTCGGGGGTCTGCGAACAACCGCTTCAGCCATCCGCGCCACCCCGCGGGAAGGGAAGCCGCTCCGCCACCACGTGACGCGCGGGCCGTG